CAGGGCAGAGGTAAACAGGGAGGTTCAGGTACTAAAAGAACTGAAATCTCAGCTTAGAAAACATCTCAAGAAGGCAAAATCCTGGAGGGGACAGCAACCCACTGAAGTATGTGATGTGATATGACCAGAGGCCAAATTCCAGCTATGAAATCTGGACAATCTCCTTGGTGATATCTTCAGAGGAACAAAGCTTCCTGTGGAGGGGATGGACATTTGGGCCTGGAAGCTGTTCTTCTGACACATCCTCAGCCCCTGCAGGGGTGACCTACAGGCCACCAGCCACCAGCAAGCAGGCCTAGGCAGAGTGTAGGCTCTCTGGCCCAGCAGGTTCTGCTGTAGAAAGGCTGTGTCTGTGTGGTAGGAGTGAGGTAGGCAGGAGCTCTGGAAAATAAGCAATTCAGTCTTGGGTCTTCTTAAGACCTAGATTACATGAAGGACTTCTAGCACCTACCACTCGACAGAACCAATCCCTTCTTGAATCAGACAAGTCATCCCCAATATGCTCAGATTCAGTATGGACAGCTGAGGAATGGGGCAGTGGTGGTTCAGCAGGTTTCTGGGATTGGTGGTATCCTGGGGTGATGTCAATGGGGCATGGCTAGTTAGCAGGTGGAGCTAGCCCAAGGCATAGGAAACCAGGACTCTCCCACAGCCTCTGGGCCCTTTACTGAACCCTTTCTGAGGTTCTTTGGCCTTGGGAGGTTAGGGGAGTTTGTGAAACTGGTTTCCTTGCTTGCTTCAACATCTGTTCAGTATCCCCTTGATAATGTTTGCTTATAGACATGTCCCCTTCCGTTTTCTCAGTATATTACTCTTGACTCAGAGTCTGTCCTTGAGCACCAGGATCCAAGAACCTCACACTTGCTATCCCTGGCTGCTTATGATCCACTCTCCTGGTCACTTCCTCCTAACATTAGGCTTTAAACTAGCTTTCAATACAGAGGACTTCGTGAGAACATACCTTAGCTTCCCTGGGTTCATTCAGTTCCCTCTTGTGGGAACCTGCCACCTGCCACTCCTCGGAAGATGGGGCAATCTACTTCCATAGTGATACTGCCTCAGAAATCCAAGGAGGGGTCGCTATGAGTCGGGTCTGACTCGACGGCACATAACAACAACAACAATGGTGACCCTGCTGATGGAACACAGAGCCATCCTCCTTGCTGGTATCTAGACCAGGCAGGACCCATATGGAAACTGATTTGGTTAGAGAGGGTAACCAAAAAACCAAACTCACTGCCATTGAGTTGATTCTGACTGATAGTAACCCCACAGGACAGAGTAGAACTGCTCCATAGAGTTTCCAAATCTGTATATATTTACAGACATAAACTACCACATCTTTCTCCTGCAGAGTGGCTGGTGGGTTTGAACTGACAACTTTTAGTTAGCAGCCAAGTACTTTAACCACTGCACCACCAGAGCTCCTTTAGAGGGGAGTAATAGCTTATAAATACTTTCTGTGGGTTTTCACATTGTTTTTGCAAGGCCTTCAGAGAAGGGAAATATAGTATATTCATCTTGGCAAAAAACAAACCCATTGCCATTGAGTCGCCTGGACTCATGGTGATCCTTGGGTTTCAAGGCTGTAAATTTTTACAAAAGTAGATTGACTCATCTTCCTCCCATGGAGCAGCTGGTGGGTTTGAACTGCTGACCTTCTGGTTAGCAGCCAAATGTCTTACCTACTACATCACCAGAGCTCTTTATTCATCATGGCAGAGGGTCTTAAACAAGCCCTCTGATGACTTGAGGTGGTGCCATTGCCAATTTTCAGAAGAGCCCAAATTCAAAGACAGATCTAGGATATTTTTCTAACTTGATAAATAAACTTTGCCTATTCTTTTACTCCTTTATTTTTGATGTCTCTCCTGAGAGAAATCTCTAGTTTCAAGGATATAAATATGATCAGACATTGAAATAAAGCTCTTTAAAGAGCTGTAGCTAAGAGCCTTCTAAAGATTATTATTATTTGGCTTAAAATGTGACCAGAAACACTTCTTGCACAACTTTAGTTTTCAGCTTTATTCTTCTTCTTCCAGATGTTCTAATTCCCTCCTCCAAGCTGAATGCAAACTAGCTTAATAAACACCCTGGCCCTAACGGACTCTAGGATAAATCTGGAGTTCTATGGGGGCAGAGTGGGATCAGGCTCAGGTTTCAGAAAGTCCATCTAAAACAGTTTTGAAGTTTGTGGCAGCTCTTGGAAGGTACCTCCCTTTTCTCTTTGCCATCCCCTCAGTAGATAGTAAGACCCATGGAAGCCTCCTGCTGTAGAAAGGAAGCAGGGTCCTGCCCTCTGGTGCTAACTGAGAACTCCTGAGAGCCCAAGGGAAAAGAAGCACTGGCTCCAAGTGAAGATGCCGGCCCTCTGCCCCAGCACGGCCTGACCCTTTTCTTTCTCATTGTATCTTTCCCTTATCTTGGAGCACGTCCCTTGGAGGAGTAGTACATCCTTCTCCTCTGCCGGGGATTTGTACATAGTGGTGGTTTCTGCAGGCCTACTCATACCCCTGACCACAGGAGCACATTCATTCCTGGCCAGATGAATCTTTAAAGGGGATCCCCACTTGTCTGAGCAAAGGTGGAACCTATATATTAGTGTGAGGCCTTCTTCTTGGTTCTTGACTCTTCTTTTCCCTAAGACCCATAGTAAACCCATACCTGTTTGGCTCACCCCTTCCCTCATTCTTCTCTGTGAGGAAGACACGTACAGCTCAAAGTGTGACTCTTCTCAGAAAGTCTGAGCTCTATTTAGTTCGAAGTCTCAAACTAAAGGTTGGAGGTCCTGGTGAGGAAGTTCTGATACCCCTGGAGCATGAGAAGGGCTTGTAGAGAGAATGGAGCTTCTCAGGGATCCATAAGACTCAGAGCAACCTCCTCCACTGGATTTGAATACTACTCCTGTGAAAGGCCTCTGGCAATGAATATTTTGTCATCACTTAAACCCAAGCCAGAAGCTATTCTCCATTAATCCATAATTTAAAACTTCTATTGTGCCTTCTATGATTAATGATTTCCCCTAATTCCTCTTTTCCAAGTAGCCTCTCAATAAAGACCTTCTCTTTGGTTCTCTCTGGCAGTCACTAGGTTCTCTCTTCACTTGACACACTCACGATGGTTCACCCAGGGCTTGCCCAGTCCCCTCCACACCCACCAAGTAAGAAGGTGGCTACTTCCCCAGCCTTGTCCTGCACAGCCCAGCTGGCCCCAGGGCTTCCAGAGCCTAACTTCAAGTCACTTTGTTGGCATAGGGTATAGATTTAAGTTTAAGTCATTTTGTAGAACTACGCTGGTGTCCGATCTGCTCCTGATCAGGTCTAGGGTTTCTGTTTCTTGGGTCTGGATTCTTTCCTTGGCTCTATATCCCATTTTTCTTTGGGTTTACTAACTTAGATTAAATCAAAATTAAAATCTCACAATCAGATTTAAGCCTTCAATTTTTCCTTCTTTTCTGTCAGACCTCTGGTCTCCTATTTCCTTGTCAGGGGCAAGGTTAATTTTGTCCTTAAGGCTACATGCAGAGATGCCAGACCCTGGCCATCGGGCAGGCTGGTATGTGAGTGAACCTAGGGAGATTGTACCCCAAACCCTCCCTCTGATCTACCACACCAACAGCACAGCTCAGCACAGTAGGTCCCAGAGCTGTGGTGGGGATGGGCAGGAGTGATGTGATATTACCAAAGAAAATAGGTGAGCCTAAATCTAGCCTGTCCCAAGCTGTGTGCTACCCAACGGAAACCAGAAAACCACAGGAGGAAGCAAACGAGGACTGGTGACAGGGCTGAGTGTCCAGGGATGGCCAACAGCCTATGCTCTGGCCTGGCTGAAGTCTGCTGAACTGTCTGAAAACTACCACACACAGTTCATGGCTAAGAACCACAGCACTGTCAATAAGGCTTGCCTTAAACCTGCCTGGACACAATTAAATTCTTCTCTGATCATTCACAAAGCATAAGAGGGTCTTTTCCATATTTGGAGGGGGAGGATGGGATGGCTCATCTGACAGAATGCAAGGTAACTTAGAGTCCTCCCTGCCTGGGACCCCACCAATCTGGGGCCTCTGCCCAAAACCTCTGATCATAAAGCCCTCCCACCAGTCACTCACCCAGTCACTACCCAAATTCTCAGTTTGAATGAGTGTCTCGTTGGGCTAAAATCTATCAAAATGAAAATATTATCCCCTTTCCTCTTGTCACACACACTCTTCCTTCCCCTTCCAGTGGAAGGTCACTGCCAAGATGTGATCTCTGCTCTCTGAGTCAGACCCAGACTCTTAGCTCTATTCCTGTCCAAACTCTGAGCCCCAAGTGCCCTTTATGACACCTCTCTAATTGGCCCCACCACAGTAGGCCTAAGAATCTGAATGGAAGCTTACGCTGAGGCTGGAGAGAAGGCAGAGGGAGAGTAGGGCAGGGGCAGAGGAGAGCTCTCAGATGGGAAAGGCCAGCTGATTTTCTAAAGAAATGGCCTCTTACAGATAAGGTCTCCCCATCTGCTCCCACTGGAACAGTCTTTCTCAAATGTCCCAGCTTCATGTTCTGTGTTGTTTCCACATAATGACTGTAACTATTACTTAAGTTAACATTTTCCTTTCAACGGACTCACTTAAAAACTTAAACCCATTTATTTATAAAGAAACCTCATGTCACTGTCATACATGGAAGGTTAGGATCATTTGTCATTTTTGATCAAAATAAATAAAAATATAGCTATTAAAACAAAGTGTCCTTCTGTGTCCTACATTATCAATCTGGTTTCTGCTATAGGTGACCTCTTTCTGACAGTAAATACTTAGGGCCTAAGGGACTCTCTCTTGGGAAGAGTCTTGCCCACCTCCTACCTTTGTCATTTTGGTGCTGAAGTGTGCCTCCCACCCGCCCTTTTTCAAGATGCCTTCCCTCCCTCCAGCTCTGTGTCTGAGGGCATGCTGCCTGCCATGCGGGCTCCCGGCCAGACTAGCGTGTGCTCTGGATCCTGCCACTGCTGGCCCAACTTACAATTCGTGGCTTGAAGGGTGGCTTAATCTTCTTCTGCTCCAGAAGCACCCAGTCGATCTCCTTGAAGAACGGGTGCTGCTTGATGGCATCCTCACCATTCTGTGCTGCCACACAGCCCAGACGCTTGTGGGGGTTCTTGGTCATAAACTGTGGGCATAGGGAGAGAGACAGAATTAGTGCCAAAGCCCAGCAGGCACAGGCTTGGAGGGAAAGATGCTAAGGTAGCCAAGCTATCACCTCCCAAATCTGCTTTCAGCACTTTCAGAGGTTTCGTCTCTGAGGAAATCCTTTAACTCTTATCTGGGACTTCCTATGCCACCACTCATCTGTCAGTTTGTCATACTATGGTTTCTTGTGTGTTGCTGTGAGGCTGGAGTGTATGCCACTGGTATTTCAAATACCAGCAGGGTCACCCATGGGGGACAGGTTTCAGTGGAGCTTCTAGACTAAGACAGACTGGGAGGAAGGAAAGGAGCATCCACTTCTCAAAGAACTGGCCAGTGAAAACCTTATGAATAGCAGTGAAATACTAATACATTACTGGAAAACTTTATGAACAGCTGAAACACTGTCTGATATAGTGATGGAAGATGAGCCCCTCAAGTTGGAAAGCAATCAACATATGACTGAGGAAGAGCTGCTTCCTCAAAGTATAGTCAACCCCAATGAGTAAAGCTTTCAGGACTGTGATAGTTATCGTTGATGGAATATCCACTGAGTTGTTTCAATAAACAGATGCCATGGTAGAGGCACTCACTCAGCTATGCCAAGAGATTGGAAGACAGCTACCTGGCCAACTGACTGGAAAAGATCCATATTTGTATCCATTCCAAAGAAAGGTGATCCCACAGAATGTGGAAATTATCAAACAATATCATTGATATCACACACAATAAAATCTTACTGAAGATAATTCAAAAATGGTTGAAATAGTATATTGACTTAGAACTTCCAGAAATGTATGCTGGATTCAGAAGGGGATATGGAGTGAGGGATATCATAGTTGATGTCAGATAGATCTTGGCTCAAAGCAAAGAATACCAGAAAGATGTTTACTTGTGCTTTATTGACTATGCAAAGGCATTCGATTGTGTGGATCATAACAAATTATGGATTACATTGAAAACAAAAAACCAAACTCACTGCCGTTGAGTCAGATCTGACTCACAGCGACCTCTCCTTGGGTTTCCAAGGCAGTATCTCTATGGAAGTGGATTGCCCAGTCTTCCTCTGAGGAGTGTCTTGTGCGTTTGAACTGCCAGCCTTCTGGTTATCATTTAATTGTACTCATTAGGAACCTGTACATAGACCAGGAGGCTGTTGTTTGAACAGAACAAGGGAATACTGCATGGTTTAAAATCAGGAAGGGAGTACATTAGGGTTGTATCCTATCTCCATACTTATTCAATCTGTATGCTGAGCAAATAATCTGAGAAGCTGGACTATATGAAGAAGAACGTGGCATCAGGATTGGAGGAAGGCTCATTAACAACTTGACATATGCAGATGACATAACTTGGTGTGGTGAAAGTGAGGATGACTTGGAGCACTTACTGATGAAGATTAAAGACTACAGTCTGCAGTATGGATTGCACCTCCATATAAAGAAAACAAAAATCTTCACAACTGGACCAATAAGCAGCATCACGATAAATGGGGAAAAGATTAAAGTTGTCAAAGACTTCATATTCCTAGGTTCTACAATCAACACCAATGGAAGCACCAGTCATGACATCAAAAGACGTATTGTTTTTGTTGTTGTTGTTGTTACGTGCTGTTGAGTTGGACCCGACTCATAACAACCCCTCCTTGGGTTTCCAAGGGGTATCACTACGGAAGTAGACTGCCCAACCTTCCTTCTGAGGAGTGAGTGACTAGTGGGTTTGAATCGCCAGCCAGTCTTCTGGTTAGCAGTCCAGTGCCTTAGGCACTATGCTACCAGAGCTCCCAAAAGACGTATTGCCTTGGGCAAATCTGTTGCAAAAGACCTCTTTCAAGTGCTGAAGAGCAAAGATATCTCTGTGAAGATTAAGATGTGCCCAACTCAAGCCATGGTATTTTCAATCGCCTCATATGCATGTGAGAGTTGGATAATGAAAAAGTAAGAATGAAGAAGAGTTGATGCTTTTGAGTTGTGGTGTTGGTGAAGAATGCTGAAAGTATTGTGGACTGCTAATAGAACTAACAAATCTGTCCTGGAAGAAGAAGTGCAACCCAATGCTCCTTAGAAGCGAGAATGGCCAGACTTTGTCTCACCTACTTTGGTCATGTTGTTAGAAGGGACCATTCTCTGGAGAAGGATGTCATGCTTGGTAAAGTGGAGGGTCAACAAAAGAGAGGAAGGCCCTCAAGAAAATGGATTGACATGGTGGCTGCAGCAATGGGGTCAGGTATAGTAGGGATCATGAGGCTGGCACAGGACCAGGACTGTTTTGTTCTGTTGTACGTAATATTGCTATGAGTCGGAGATGACTCGATGGCACATAACACAACAATACTAACAACAATACTTTTACAAATGAGGTATTTGAGGCACAGAGAAGTTAATTGACTTGCCCAAGGCCATACAGTTAGCAAGGTACAAAGAAGAGATCAGGAACTCAAAGTCTTATTAACTCCCTGAAAACCCTCAGTTTCTCAAATCTTCTTAAGAAAAGAGGAGACAAGGGTTTGATAAACTCATTTACACTGATGGATCAAAAGTCCTTTTTATGGCAAGGGAAGAAGATTAGGTACTCTTGTGAAGTAAATTATCAAAGGTACCTCCTGCCCCTCCTTTATTCCTAGACCTGTATTTCCAATCTCTAACACAAAATGTATATGGAGGTCAAAAGTTAAAAATCAAAAGCAAATAAAGAAAAAGAAAAGCTTATTGCTTGTCAATGCTTATACGTAAAAAATCACATTGATGTGTTTTGTATTTTTTTAATGGTCTTGTAACCCTGCACTCCCAAAGAAATTTACTGTTCTTACTAAATGAGTCAGTCCTGATGGTAAATATTAATTTAATTCAGCAAATATGCCAATACAATCTTGAGAAAAAAAAAAGTGCTTGTAGGTGGAATTATTTCTGAAAGCCAGGTGTGTGTGTGTGAGAGAGAGAAAGAGAGAGAGAGAGAGAGAGTGTGTGTGTGTGTGTATGTGTGTGTGTATTAGAGATAGTGTTTTATGTCAGGGGATGAGGGTTGAGTGTCTGGATTTTACCAAAAGACTTGTTGTTGTTGTTGTTGTGTGCTGTTAAGTTGGACTCGACTCATAGCGACCCCTCCTTGAGTCCTTCCATGGAGGATCTGGTGGGTTTGAACTGGCAACTGTCCGGTTAGCAGTCAAATGTCCACATGGGAACTCTTTATCTAAACTGAATTTATCTGCTGGCCTTTTGCATCTTTTATTGTCTCTGGCTTGAATATCCATCTCTAATTCTTACCTATCCTCCAAGAACCAGCTAAAATGTTCCTCCTCTATGAAGCATTCCCAGAGTTTCCCTCTGTTGATACCTGGGACCCCAGTTGCCTTGTTTATTTAAATTATAATTTGTCTTAACAGCTCTCTCCCTCAGTGAATGGTGAGCTCTATGGTATAGGAACCAGTCCTATCTTCCCAGCACCTGGCTCACTGCCTGGCTCCTTTTAGGTACTCAGTAAATCTTAATGACTAAATGGAGTGCTGAAGGCTGTATCTCCAGGCACAGTGCTGAGGGAGGTAGTCAGCAGGACTGTCACTTACTGTTGCAAAGATTGTATGTTGAACAACTCTATCATACAAATGGCCTCCTCTAAAGTTCTACACCATCTTCACATAGGCAGCAGTCCTCAGAGACCAGCTCGGGGGCCAGAGTCATGGAAAACCCAGCCTGGCCCTAGCATCAACTGCCTGACAATGTGAGGAAGTGAAGTGTTCCAAGGCCAAGGGAGTGGAAGACTCCTCCTCACTTCCTCGGCTCTTCCTGCCCTCCCTCTTCTGGGAGGGGAAGTATCAGAGCTAGGGATAAACAGACAGGTTTTACCATTTCAGGAAGCTGTACCCAGCCAGTCTCCACGGTGACTTCATCCCCTTCTCACCAGTTAACATGGGTACAACCTCTAATGTTCTGAATCTGTGGAGGTCAGAGTTTCTCAGTCACGGTGCTATGGAGGTTGTGGATAATTCTTTGTTGTGGGGAATGATTCTGTGCACTATAAGTTGTAGAGCAGCACCTCTGACCTCTGCTCACTAAATGCAAATTACAACTCTCCTCACAACCCTCCCCTGCAACCTCTGAGCTGTGACAACCAAAATGTCTCTAGAAATTGCTAAATGTCTCCTACGGTCAGGGACTTAATGGCTCCTAGTTGAGAACTACTGCTCTAGGTCATTCAAACATAAAAGGGCTCAGGTGACATGCTGGCAAGGGGCTTGCAAGGTGTTCAGGGCCTGGAACAAGTAAGTAGCTCTGCTGTGCATGGTAATCTGGCTCCCTGGACAGATTGAGCAGTTCAAACACACCAACCACCTGAGAAGGATGGTTGGGCAATCTACTTCTATAGTGATACTGCCTCGGAAACCCAAGGAGAGGTCACTATGAGTCGGATCTGACTCAACGACAGTGAGTTTCGTTTGTTTTTTGGTCAACTGGATAATTGCAAGAGCTAGCTTGGGAAAAGATGGGACTCAGGAAATTAAAGGAGGCAAAAGCTCCCATCTCTACCCCAAATCAATTCTCAGTGAGCGTCCTCTGCTATCTTTTCAGAGATGCCTCACATTGCAGCTCCAAAGGACAGGTAGAGATAGAACAAATGAACACAAGTCCTATCTGACCCTCTGGACTATCTAGCTGTCAGTCAAAATTGAACCCAACTTCTCCTGGAATCTATATGACTGAAAGTTCCTTTCAGTCAGGTTTCTGCTTCAGTATCACCTTATTCAAGAGGCCTTCCCAGACACAGTGGCATTTCTCTCACCTCTCCCCGCATGAGGAGGACTTAAAACAAAGGCTATCACTGCTGTTGTCAGATGGATCTTGGGTGAAAGTAAAGAATACCAGAAAGAAATTTATCTGTGTTTTATTGACTACATGAAAGCATTCAACTGTGTGGATCATAAATGATGATGAATAACATTGTAGAGAATGAGGATTCTGGAACACTTAATTATGCTCATGTAGAACCTGTACAAGGATCAAGAAGCAGTTGTTCAAACAAAACAAGGGGATACTGTGTGGTTCCAAGTTAGAAAAGTTGTGTGGCAGGCTGTATTCTTTCACCTTACTTATTCTATCTGTTGTTGTTGTGTTGTTATGTGCCGTTGAGTCAGACCCAACTCATAGTGATCCCTCCTTGGGTTTCCAAGGTGGTATCACTATGGAAGTAGATTGCCTCATCTTTCTTCCGAGGAGTGGCTGATTCTATCTGTAAGTTTAGAAAATAACAAGAGAAGCAGGACTATATGAAGAATGTGGCATCAGTATTGGAGGAAGCCTCAGGAATCACCTGCAATATGCAGATGATACACCCTTGTTTGCTAAAACTGAAGACAACTCAAAGCAATTACTGATGAAGGTCAGACTACAGCCTTCAATATGGATTATACTTGAATGTGAAGAAACGAAAATCCTTACAACTGTACTGATAAACAACATCATGATGAACAAAGAAACTGAAGTTGTCAATGATTTCACTCTGCTTTGATCAACAATCAATGTTCATGGAAGCAGTAATTAAGAAATCAAATGACATATCACATTGGGCAACTCTGCTGCAAAAGACCTACTTAAAATTTTAAAAAGCAAAAATGTCACTTTGATGACTAAAGTACACCTGACTCAAGCCAAGTCTTTTCAATCACTCCATATGCATGAGAAAGTTGGATAATAAAAAAGGAAGACAGAAGAAGAATGGATACTTTTGAACTACAGTGTCGGTGAAGAATATTAAATACACCATGGACTGCCAAAAGAACAACAAATGAGTCTTAGAAGAAATACAACCAGAATGTTACTCAGAAGTGAGGATAGTGAGACACTGACTTGCTTACTATGGACATGTCATTAAGAAAGACCAATCTCTAGAAAAAGACATAATGTTTGGTAAAGGAGAGAGTCAGTGAAAACAAGGGGAATCCTCAATGAGATGGAGTGACACAATGCTACAACAATGGGCTCAAACATAGCAGCTATCATGAAGATGGTGCAGGCCTAAAAAACATTTCATTCTGTCACATATGAGCTGGATCTGACTTGATGGCAGTCAACAACAATAACTTCCCCTACCCCATCATCCTGTCACTCTTTGTCTCTGTATCTCACCTCATGTTTCTTTTTAGCATCCCTTGTCACTTGGTACAATATGCAGTTCTTTGTCTATTCATTTATCCACTGGACTACAAGTGTCACGAAAGCAAGGACCTTGAGCGCTACACCACCAGCACCGGGCTTAGTGCCTGGAACATAATAGAGGCTCAATAAATATTTATTGAATAAATGAATTATTGAATAAGCACAGGCTATTTGCTTCCTTCACTGTACTATGTGTGGATGTATTTTTTATTTATTGGCCTTCTCCTCCCATTGTACTGTAGCTCCATAGGCAGGGACCATGGCTGTTATATTTGCCAATACTTACTTCACACACACACGCACACACACACACACACACACACACTGTCGTCAAGTCGGATGGACTCATAGCGACCCCTCCTTGGGTTTCCAAGGTGGTATCTCTACGGAAGTAGATTGCCCAACCTTCCTTCCGAAGAGTGGCTGGTGGGTTTGAACTGCCAGCCTTCTGGTTAGCAGTCAAATGCCTTAGGCACTACTCCACCAGAGCTTCAATACTTACTAATACTTAGAATCTAGCAAAATTCAAGTCCACTGGAAACATTTAATAACTAGTAGTTCATGGAATAACTATGTAGAGAAGGAAAGGCAGAGAAAGAGCAAGATAAGTAGAAGAAAAAAGGGAATGAGGTGATGGAAAGAGGGAAGGAAGGAGGGGGAAAGAACAACTACAGAAAAGAGTAAGATGTCCTCATGGGGTATTTTCTAAAATGTGGGGTGTGTGCCACCAGATACTGACAAAATAAATTTAGCCCATGAAAACAGCTTCTTATGATGACTCATATTAATTAATTATGGCAAGTGATACAGATTTTCTGTCCATAATAACGATAAAAAGTTTCTTTGTAAAGTACATGTGATTAGGTAAATATTGAGAGTCAATTAACTAATAAGAGAAGTAAATAATGGTACAAAGAGTATTTGAATATGCCAACTTTTATGAATGTAGCACGCAAACTACTGAAGTCAGGGGAATTCTCGTGCATGAAAGAAGCCAGGACTGAAAGTCAAGGTTCCTAGTTGTCACTTGTCCTGCCTCAGTCTAGTGGCGTGGCCTTGGACAAACTAGTCTATTTCCTTCTCTGCCCTTCATCTTCTACTCTTTCAAAAGGGAAGCGATAACATCAATTATTTGACATAGTTGGTGCCACCACATTGCAGAAACAGCTGTGTTTAGAAAGATTAAGCTTTTTCACATGTGAGGGATTATTAGTCAGAGCAGGGACAGTGTCTCTATTAAATATCTGAGTCCAGCATGGTTGCTTGTATCTTGAGTGGACATCTCTTTTCTGATCAGCTGTTCAGCCATAGTAATGCTATTGTGGACCCAGAGCCCTCCCTTCTTTCCTTCTTCTATTTTCTCTTCTGGTAGCGTCGTGCCTAAGGCACTTGACTGCTAACCAGAAGGCTGGTGGTTCAAACCCACCAGTCACTCCTCGGAAGGAAGGTTGGGCAATCTACTTCTGTAGTGATACTGCCTCGGAAACCCAAGGAGGGGTCGCTATGAGTTGGGTCCCACTCAGTGGCACATAACTAAAACAACAACAACATTTTCTCATCACAGGCCCTAGAGTGAAGTCAGCCACTGGGTGGCAGGTAAGGAAGGAGGCCCAGCCCCAGAGCATCAGTGGCAGGGTGATGCCGATGCTATTTGGGTGGGCTCTGCTCCATCTGGGACATGGGAGGACACAAGCATATACAGTGCCCCATCTCAGGAAATGCAAATATACCATCCCTTTCCCACAAGCAGAGCAATTGATCCCAGATCCTGTTTTTTTAGTAGCAGCCCTCTGAACTATGCCTGAACTTCCAGGATGACTGCCCTTGACTCCTCACAATCAGTGGTGAGAGGAACTAAACAGTGAGAATGGGGAAAAGGAGCACTGAAGAGAAAAGACTGAGAGAGAAGGGAGAATGGAGTGAGAGAGAGAGAGGGATAGGAGGGACAGAGTATCAAGAAAGAGACAGACATAGTGGGAAGGCTGGGGGACTCACCGCTTTCAAGATACTGACAGCCTCTTTGCTGAGCCAGACTGGGTACAGCACATCATCGTGGAGGATGGACTCAAAGAGGTCATCTTCATTGTCAGCCTCAAATGGGGGCTGCCCAGCCATCATTTCATACATCAGCACCCCCAGGGCCCACCAGTCCACAGAAGGGCCATACTCCAACTCTTGTAAGATCTGTTCAGGAAATAGCACTGTTAGAAGAGGTGAAGCCTTGGGAAAAGGCCAGCAATGTGTGTGAGAGCCCATCAAAGACTCCACCACAGATCCCACTGAAGATCCCACCATAGGCCCCTCCACAGATCTCACCACCAAAAACGCCTGACTAAGTGCCCATGGAAGGAGCTGCAATTGCCTGATCCTCTGCCTCTCCAACTTGTTCTGGCACAGAGCAGATCCCCCTGTTATAGAAGGTTAGGTTCTAAAACAGCAAATTCAGTGAAAATTGACTTTGAGAGTTACTACATTGGAAGCAACTACAATAAGTCAACCATCTGTCCTCCAGTGGGAAGAAATTGCTGTTTCTTTACATAAGTATCAGATGAAGTTCCAGACTTGCATTTTGGGTCAAGTTAAAAAATGCATATTTTTTTAACATTGAAATCAGAATCAGGGAAGCAAGATACAAATGAATGGACACAGGCAATCTGAGAGTAATGGAGGGTGCAGCAAGTTCTGGTCTTCTATCTCACCCTCATGTCAGGACATGCTCACTGACTGGAAAGGAGAGCAGAACTGCAGCCTTATTTAAATGATGTCTATAGTGAACTTTACTCAAGTCCTGTGCTCCTAGAAAAAAATTTTGGTTATGACCCCCACCTCCTCCCTTTTCTGTTCTAACCACAAAAGACCACTATGCTCTTGCATATGGGATAAGACCAACCTCTACCCTTCCTCAATGACTCAGATAAGACCCATTCTCATTGTGACTCATAATTCTGCTGATGACTCTATGTTTAATTTCTCTGTTAAGCCCCAGACTACATTCCTTCCTTTGAGACATTCCTCATTAAATGAACACTCTCCGTGCTGCAACAGTTCTGAATAAAATCACCTCCTTAATTGTCCTGTGCATGATGTCTTTGAAAAATTCATGATCTTTCTCTCTTTTTTTCCTCTGGCCAAATATGTAGAATTGAATTTCCTTAGGTTAAATACATGTATGACATGATGCTACTTACAGCTTCTGAATGAATGGACAGAAGTCTTACAAACTGAACCATAGTTTCAATGGATGAGAGGAATTTTACCTAAAGTCATGATGATTCAGAACTTTCTGAAAAGCAAGTAACTGTCCCTATTCTAACTTTCTGGAGCACTGGCCACATGTTATAGTAGAAGGAGATAGTACATCTGATGCTTAATTTCCTGGATGCTCTTAAGGCAGTCATTGACTTGCTCATTATCATATGGGGCTCAGATCCTCGATTCAACCTCACAAGATTAATTATGGTAGAAGGTTTTTAAAAATGCCACAAAATACAAAGCTCTACATAATTAGAAGCTAGTATCAAATTCAAGCTTTCTTCTATTAGGTCTAGTTTCTATGTATATATAATATGTAGTAGGACAATGATGTATGTTTGGCTCAGAAGAGAAATAAATACTGAGCTGTCCCCATGGTTAAGAAAGGTATCATGACACAGTGACATTTTCATCCACAATTTCCTCTTATCAGCCAGAAAGGATTAGGCATGGTCCTGCCCAGAAACAGGAGGGTATCTGAGATTGCTCCCAACTTTATACATCTATAAAAGGGTTCCATAAAGTGAGGGTGTACACTAGAAATGAGGTTGGAGTTCATGTCCTAAAAGAGGGTATACTCTGAGGACCCCCAAAAAAAGGGCAAAGGCTGCACCTCATCATTCTAGCTCCCACAGAACACCTCAGTCGAATAACTTCTCAGGGTCAGGACAAGAATCCAGTCAAGTTCTCAAATTTCAAGATGGCCAGGGAAGAGGTGGCTAACCTTAAGCATCTAGTCTTTCTGTTTATTCAGAAATAATCCCTCCTAGAGATTACAAATTGCTTGGAGTAAATCAAAAGACTTGGATGGAAATCTCTTGAAAATAGTAAAAATAATGCATATTTTAGGAATCTTCCAAATTTGGAATAAAAAGGAATGTGAGAAAATGCAGCAAAAGACCTCTTTAAAGAGGTGGAAAAGCAAAGATGTCACTCTGAGGACTAAGATGTGCCTAATCCAAGCCATAATATTTGCAATCACCTCATATGCATGAGAAAGCTGGAAAATGAACAAGGAAAACTGAAGAATTGATGCCTTTGAATTATAGGTGTTGGTGAAGAATATTGAATATACCATGGCCTGCCAGAAGAATAAACATATCTGTCATGGAAGAAATACAACCAGAATGCTCCTTTGAAGCGAGGATAGTAAGACTTTATCTCATGTATTTTAGACATGTTATCAGGAGGGACCAGTTCCTGGAGAGGGACATCATGCTTGGAAAAGCAGAGGATCAGTGAAAGAGAGGAAGCCCATCAATGATATGGAATGACACTGTGGCTATAACAATGGGCTCAAACATAGCAACAATGTGAGGATAGCACAGGCCCATGAAGTGTTACATTCTATCATACACAGAGTTGCTATGAATCAGAACTGACCCCATAGCCCCTAACAACAACAGCAATCTGCTTTGTTATTACCTGTGTTCTCAGACCAGAGGTGCCTGAAAGGTCAGAGCTATAGCTTCCATTGTCCTGAGACATTGGCAATTCTGCTATATTTCAAAGTAAAAGCCAGCTCCTCCCTCTACTTTGAAAGATATAGCACTCCAACATGGTTGAGCATAGGTACTACTAGTTTCCATCCTTCACAGTCCTGGTTATGACTCATCTCTTCCAGAAAATTTCCTGGATTTCACCAGCCATGGTAGTTTTTCCTCCTATCCTCTAAGATCTTAGGACCCTTGCCTGTTCCTAAGATTTGTGGACACGTTTCATGTACTACCATGTTTTTAGTCATGGCTTTGTGGTCACCTGACTTCTTAGAGTATCTATAAACTACCAGAGAGTAAGGGCTCTAGCATTCTTCTGAGCTCCCCACTGCACCAAGCCCACATAGGAGATAGCCAGCCTTTTGTGACCAGTTGATGTGTATGTGTATATCTTACTGGGCATGCTCCCTTCCCTCTTAGGCTCAGGGAGCACTGGGCACTAAGGTGGCCACCCTTCACTTTGGACAGGTGGGACAGCCTGGGTTCTGTGCAACCACATAGTGGTGGGAAGGTGGCCTCCAGGTGGCCTGTGTGTGCACAGACAGGATGGCGCTGTGGAAACCGCAAAGCAGCCCTGCCCACCTTTCCCCAGGCCCCCTACCAAGCCTTCTGGTTTGGGGTGGCATCTTTTGTCAAATTCTTTTTAGGCTTGGCCCTAATTATCTGCTTCCTAAACACCTTGCCAGCTATGGAGCTGGTAAGAAGGGCAAGGCTTCACATGCTATGGGAGGGCACCTGGCACGGCAGCCAACACCTCAAGAAGGTCAGAGCCAGGTTAAGAGAGAAGGGGCAGATGTTGGGCTTGGTGACATGACGCATTACCCAGGGCTGGGTCACATCCTGAGAGCAGAGGCTGGGTGTGGAGGAAGGAGAGGGATGTGATGGAGGCTGGCCACAGGACACATGGTGGGAAGAGAAGCACTGGGGCAGCATTAATGCCTCAGAAGGTGTCTCTGGTTTCAGGGTTAGTTAGTGCCTCACTACTCCTCCTATGTGAACAGAGAGTTGTGCTTTTCAAAGCATTTCCATGCTATAATCTCATTAGATTTTCAAAACAGTGTGATGAGATGGGTAGGACAGAAATTATTCTTAATATTCCCATTTGAAATATGAGGAATCTGAGCTTCAAAAATGTTTGGTGACTTGATCAAGGTCCCATGGAGACATTCAGGGCCAGGGCTGGCATCTTCTTAACTCTCAGATTGTGCTTCCCTCAACTGTGTAGCCTAACAACTATGGTGAGCATGACAAGAGCCACAGGCATCCAGTGCTTACTGTGGGCTGGGCACTGTTCTCACTGTGTTAGATGCATAATTTCATTTAATCTTCCCAGTGGCCCTTGGCAAAAGCAGATACACCTCTATCAGCTATAATTTGCCTACAATAAGACCAGGGATAGTTTGCCATTTTAAATGTAGCGGTGATTCCACACAGTTGACATGAAGGATGGGGTGGCAACCAGAGAGTGACTGTGTCTGGTTATAAACAGAAATCAGAATTGTTCATCATGAGTCTCATCAATGGCTGTGTGGGTGGTGTTTTGTTCATCATAAATTGTATGTTTGCCTTTGGCTGGATCCTTAGCAACTACATGGCACTCTCAACTGTGACTCTAGCACTACACACTCACATAGGGGCTGGACTATGTGTGCTGGTGATAAAAATGAATGAGGAGGATGGTGAAAAAACAGGTTCCAACTGAGAAACCTAAGTTTAATTTTGTTCTTAAAGGTTGAATTCTTAGTGTTCCTTTTAAGAGAACACACTAGTAGACTCAAATCATTATAGATTTCTTTGAAGATAAAGTTTCTAAAGAGAAGTTACCTATTATTCAGCATGTCCACTTCTACCACCCTCCTAACATTACCCCACGTGTCATCTGGTTTGTAAAAAACTGATTCATCTGGTCCCCCTCCCCTAATTTTCTGCCTTCCCAGTCACACTGCTTTTGCTGCTCTTATTCCTGGGTCAGGTATGATTCTGTCACCTTTCCACCGAGAAACTCTTGGTGGGTCCACAGATCCTACAGGATTAAGGTCACATTTTTTGAGGGCTCTCCTTGATCCTAACCTCATTCATTACTACGAGTACCGTTGTTCTTAGTTGCCATTGAGTCAGTTCTGAGAAGCACTGGGGCAGCATTAATGCCTCAGAAGGTGTCTCTGGTTTCAGGGTTAGTTAGTGTCTCACTACTCCTTCTATGTGAACAGAGAGTTGTGCTATGTACCACAGAAGGAAATGTGCTGTCCCTTGCCAGTCCCATAATCATTGATATGGTTGAATCTTTTGTTGTGGCTACTGTGTAGCGTCTTCCAATCTAGAAGGCTCATCTTCGAACACTGTATCAGACAATATTCTGTCATGATCCATGGAGTTTCATTGGTTAATTTGAGGAAGCAAATTACCAGGCCTTTCTTCTCATCTACCTTAATCTGA